GTCAGTGGAGATTTTGAATCCACTATGGGATAGGGCTCAGAAGACAGTTATACATGATAATTTTAATGCCAATAACACTTTTCCTGGATGACAAAAGCCCTAGCCTCTGCTAGTAAGAGAGAAACTCTGCTTTCAAATAAACTAGATATGTTTCCTAGCTAAATAGATTTATGGCCATTATGAACAATGGATGCCCATTATAGATGTTTGCAGATATATAATGTATACTGCTAAATTTGTAGCAATGCCCAGAAATATTATTTCCTTGGATGCCTATGTATTTCCTCCACAGATGTATAGGGAATAGTATATCCTAATATTATGTAAGATGTCTGATGCCTTTCATGCAATATAATGTAATGAAAGTAATGGATATAGACATTAGAATGGTCTGTTTTTGTCTAAAGGGAGTGTATATTTGTGTATCTATGATGTTTATACTACATAGCCTAAAAACTAACAAAAGCCTGATAATTCTCCCATATTAATTGTCTACAAATACACATTATCTATGTTTTGTTGTTGTTGTTGTTGTTGTTGTGTACCTTCAAGTCTTTTCCAATTTATGGCACCCTAAGGTGAACCTATCATGGGGTTTTCTGGGCAAGATTTATTCAAAGGAAGTTTGCCATTGTCTTCCTTGAAGTTGGGAGCATATGACTTGCCCAAGGTCACTCATTGAGTTTCATGGCTGAGCTGGGAATTGAACCCAGGTCTCCAGAGTTGTAGTTAAATGTTCAAACCACTATGCCATGCTGGCTCATACAAGAAATGAAACATCCTTGCAATAAAGGCCATAGAAATAGAGAAGGGGGAAAATAGACCAAATCATTATACATGTTTCTATCATCAAAGCCTTAAAGGGTCTTCTGAGAATCATTTTTCATTAAGTAGACAAACAAACAAGTGAGAAAAATAATTGGAGGCAAAAGGAAGATTGCTCAGAAATACATTAAACTGAAGCTGAAGCCAGCAGTGTAACAACTATTCTTATATCCCTGAGACTGTATATGAATCACCTTAGCCCTGTACTGAGAAGATTAGCACAGATAATTAGAAATGTGAAGACATCCTTTCACATTTCTCTGCCTCCCCTGCACTGAATTATAGATTGTAAGCCCCTCATGGCAGGAGCCTGTCTTCTTGTGCTTTGTAAATAATACACATAATTGTAGAAATAACATAAAAACAACAGGAGCTGGAAACTTGAGTTTTAAAATAAGAGAGGAAGTATAAAGTAGGAAGATGAATTCTATTTTCATCTTAGCCCAGTACAATGCCTATATTATGCATGTGACAGAAGGAGGGAGAAAGAGAGAGGCAGAATGCAAAAGCCTTCTAGAAACATGTTTCTGGAGGCACGAATGTAATCTTAGGCATGGTATACAGATGACCTAGTGTATTTCTAGTATTTTCCTCTAGTTTTCACTTTAGCATTCCATTCCCCTTGAATTGACCATTCCCTTTAATGCTCAGTAGGAGCAAGGAATAGCTGGGGTGGGCAAAAAATGCACACACACAGCCCTCTGGTGGATTGTTGTTGTTGTTAATTGCCTTCGCATTGATCTCAACCCATGGCAACACTGCTGATGAGACACTTCCAAGACCCCTTGTCTTCTACTGCTCTGCCCAACTCCTACAAACTCATACTCAGGATTTCTTCAATAGAGTCCATCCATCTGGCATGCAGCCTTCCTCTCTTTCTACTTCCCTCCACCTTTCTTAGCATTATTGTTTTTTACAATGATTCATGTCTTTTTGTGATGTGTCCAAAGTACACCAGCCTATGCTTTGTCATCATGGCTTCCAGGGAGATTTCTGACTTGGTCTGCTCTCGGACCCATTTCTTTGGACATTATCACACATGGGCCAGTTTCATTGTTAAAGAGATAATAAAGTGAAAATGAAGCATCCCGAAAAGAAAGTGAAAAAAAAGCTTAATTGCGCAAAAGCTTTTCACACGTAATTACAGTAATAACGGAATTAAGTTAAAAGCAAAAAAAAAAAAAAAGACTTTTTAACTTTCATACCCAAGTGAAAAGAACCCATACATGTACTGGAAATGGGTGTGTTTTGTTACCAGACTCCTCCTTTTTCCAGGGCAGTTCCTGCATTTCCCAGAAGGAAATGTCAGACTGTCCTACATTTGGTCATGTTCTCCTGCACAGGTCCTAACTCCCTTCCATTGGGGTTAGGACCTCTCAAGAGAGCAGAGGAGGAGGAGGAGGCTGGAAAGGCAAGGTGAGGCAAGGCGAGGCAAGGGAGGGATTGAGATGGCTCGGCCTCCCTTTTCTCTCTCTC